TTGCGTCCCCCCAGCGAATTAATGATAGATTTTGTGGCTTCCTAACCCTTCCGGTTCCTGACGGTAACATGTGCGTACTTGATGCTGTAAAATCAATAATGTTGCAAATTATAATATACACTATCTCTCTAGAGTATTCGATTCCGCGTCTGGTACAACAGAAACATATTTTTATTCACTTATATAACGTTGTTGTGCTTTCTAGACAATTAAATTTGAAAATCTAATTATCTAGAAAAATGGCTTTATGCCCAAAATCTAGGCTAAGAATTAAAGTTAATTTTCTTCGACCGTAATGCTACTTTGTTCCGTACTTCTACAATTTTGCTCGATTCACACTTTTCCCCAAGTACCTTCCCTGTTTCGTGTTTTTCTGAATGGTAAGATACGATAGAGTTAATGGGAACTGATAAGTTTTATGGACCAGATGGTACAAAAGGAAGAGAGAAAGATAAACGAGGCGACATTTATTGCGAGCTTCGACGTTTGAGAAAATTTATCAATGATTCATGTTGAATCGCCGGTTGCTGTTTGTTTTCTGCTTTTTGCACCGGTATCGTAGATTCTTTCTCGTCGATTAGGTGTATCGCGGTGGAAGTGTTAGAAAATATGAGCGGAAAAAGAAGAAATATGATTCCTCGCAGTTTATTGCCGGTCCTTTGTAACGCGTGCAATCGAAGAAAAATTTGTGTTCGACGGTTCTACAGCAACGTATATCCAAATTTGAATTTTATACTATAAGGAACACTTCTTGTATTTTATAAATATTCATACGCGCACTCATGTGCACAGCAAATAATATACCCAACGTACCCTTGCATGGTGAACATGAATATGCAAAACATACGTATTATGCAAGCAATAGAGAATAAAATTTATATTTTTAGAATCTTCTAAATTTAAACTATATTTCTATCTGGAGCTCAGTGCTTGTCCATTATGAAAACTTGCATTTGCACAGACGTCCACAGTAGAGTCACAATATTTAGGTGCTACCAAAGAAATAAAATGTTGTAATATACGGTATAAGTAATATTTTTTCGTGGTCTACGGGGAATATCGTGTTTTCGAAATGTTACTCGACTGCAATACTTCCTCCATAGATTGTTGAATGAAAAGATCCTTAAATGTAATTTCGTTATTCTTGATTTCTGTCTGATTTTAGCAGAGTCATCCCCCTGAGAGCATCGCCATTAGTAGCCAAACACTCCGCGTATCCTCGACGTACTCCAGCGTGTACGTGTACCATTTCAGAGAACTTTAAGCATTAGCACGATAGTATGTGACTGACGAAGATACGCAAGGTTTGCCAGGTAAACTTCCTTAAACCTGCTTATGACAGTTTTCGTACGCAGAGAGACCCCGTAACATAGATTTTTAGGTGCGGAGTATTTCGACGCTCGGTAATTTTTGCACGTAGAAGAAAGTTACTCGTCGGTGGCGAAACAAATGAGAGTTTTGTGTCTTCGCAGCTCTAAAGCCCGGCAATCCAGCGGGAAGTTTCGGCATCACAGCCAGCTCTTATTCTTTCCTTCTCTCTCCCTCGGTACCTCCCTTTGATTCCGCCGTACCTATAGCCCCTTTTCGTCCGTTCTCCCACGATCCGAATCTCGACATGAAATAAGAAGAGAGTAAATACTCCGAGTCGTCTCCGAGTACATGGGCGTTTGGCACGAAACCAAATTCCAACGGCAGGAGGTATATCATCGCTGGAAAGCGAACAAGCATATATACAGTGTCCTCTTTGAAATCATTCTCGTAGCTTATTTCGAAGCGATGACGATAACGAGATTTTGCCCGAAAGCGGCTGTGAAAAGTAGGACACACAACGGTCAGGTATTTTAGTTTCCAATTAGTTTCTTTCGCGGCGGAGGTTTATTTTATTTTTAGAACCGAACTCACCGTACAGAAACATCGAAACGTAGAATCCGCAACATTAATTGCCTATTATGATTTATTCACGATAATTTCTAGAATAATCAAAGTTCCTGGATTTAAAATTTAATAATTTATCGTGATCAAAATGAAAGTTACATCGTTTCAATTTTGTCAAAAAATCTTTAACCGATTTCGTAGGGGTTTTCTTTTCCATCAGTCGTACATATTCTTTTTTTCTCTATCTTTTTCGACAACGTGACCGTCTTCAAATTTCGAGCATGACATTTACGTATCCCATCCACAGAAACTCTCCGTTATTTCGCTTCCTCCTTGTTAGTCGTATAAAAGAGTTTTAAGGTCATTTAGCAACGTCGCGTACCAGCTTATTTTCACAAGGTATACACGAGTGCAGTAAAAACGTTCCACACAGTATTCACGGAGCCAGTGTTTAGTTTAATCCACGGAAACCGTCCTCGATACTCATAAATAGTCCTCTGAAATTGAAAATGCACCGTGACTCTTAAGCCAGAGTTTCCACTCGGAGCTGCACGAGAACAGAGTATAAGCAGACTGTTTTAGTTTCCGCGAGTGTTTTTGTGCACGCGTGTTTTTACGACGGGCCGTGCGCGTATATCGAGAAACCTAAATCGCGGGGCGGTTTATTGAAAATGAAAATAGAATCACGGTTACGCAGCCGCGTTATTTGCAAAGAACTTGATCTTAATGAATCCGGAATGTTTGTCGCGAGAAAATGATGCTGGTCGAGGCTGAAATGTATTTAATTCCCACCGAGATTGGTTGTCGGATTAAACTCGTATTGGTTTCACTTGCTTTGAGCGACCCCGGGCATTCAGTGAAACTCGACGCGTTTTGTTCGACCGGTTTGTAATTAGCGGGTTAATTGTACCGCGTTAGCAACCGAATTCCTTGGTGACCTATAATGCCAGGAAATATTGGAATCGGTAATAAATTGTGTAAACGTGCACTGCGGACAATCAATGTTGAAGTTTCACGGAGGCGACGAACTGAATTCAGGGCCAGTGAAATAGCTCAGTACATAGTCAGACATCTATACATCTGAGAGGTCGAAAAGATGTACAGCAGAAATTTTATTTTTTTATTAATAAATTGTATCACTACATTACCCATGGTTGTGTCTATTATAAATCAAAAATGAATTTTTAAGAAAAATCGACAGAGGCCAGGTGTTTCTCGAATAACTTTTTCAAATCGTTTTGGAAAAATTATTTTCTGTTGAAGGGGTCAATTACAATCATTTTTGGTCGATAAACATACCCTCGAAATCCTACGCAATCTCGAGAAAAAAATTCCTTACCAAAAATATAATGTCTGACTATGCGTTGATATGTTTCCCTGAAATATCATGCGTATGTTTAAAACGTTATAACTTCTGAGCGGATTGAAGGATTTTAATGTTTTAAAGGGCAAGCAATGCGTATTTTGGTGAAAAATATGTAGAAATTCCAAGAATGTTAGAAAAGTTGTTCCTTAATCCCATAAAGAGTGAAAAATCGTATAAAATTGGTGCAATTCCTCATTTTTATCACTTCATATGTAGGTATAGTCCAATTATTCGACATTGTGCCACTTCCAAGTATGCCGGATAGTTGGAATTTGACTGTACTTGAGACTTTTTTTACGACACTAGTATTTAATAGAAAAGTTTCTATTAAAAACGTAATTGTTTCCAAGAGTGTTAGCAATGATTTCATGAAATGAGGGAACTCAAGTGTATATCTAGAGCGAAATAACCATGGTACACGATAAAGTATTATTTAAAATGGTATTTAAAATTTTACTTGTTTTTCATGAATAGTAAAACTCTCGGTTGGATGAAAATGAATAACTTGCAAAGCACTACATCACAATACATCACGATACATCACGTATCGAGAATACTGCATTACCCATAGATTGATCCAGTAAATGTAGATAGATTGCGTACACACGATATATCACTCTATAATTAAAACCTGTCGTTCTATTCCTTGAATTTTCCTTCACGGTTTTGAAAAATTAAAAATCTCGATCGTAGCTTACGAAGTGTAATCTAGACGTTATGAGTTTCTTTCAAATAATAATATTTTAATAAAGTTGATTATCCTAAGTTGAATTTGGCATAGGGAAACTTTTTACTCTTTTATTTTGCCTCTTCTATTCACCTATAATTTGAAAGAAGCAAAATTTGCCAATTAGAGGTTTATTAAGATGAAACTATTGATTCGAGTCTTATCCGCTTAAACTTTCCGCACGATCCTGGTTAGGGAGGTATGGCAGCGATTAATGATTCCTATCAATAAGTTATTCACGATGCTTCGTTGCCAATAATGCGGTTTTGAATACATAGACGAGAGTTTGATCAGATTGAGAACGTAGTTTGCAAGAGTTTGTTAATTATCGTCAATTATTATGACCATGCACTGTCTATGTGTATCCTATTGCATTGCGACATGCGGATAGGATGTTATAGTGACGTATTTTCGGAGGATCTCATTTGGTACTTACCATTTCGCTACGGAACTTTGCAAATGTGAGCAGGGCAGGATTTCAGCGATGATTGCATCAAATCCTGAACAAATCTATTACTAAAAGAAATCTTAATATTTTCACTAATTATTAACTGAACATGAATTATACATTTACTTAATATTTCGTGATTTTAAGTATGTAAAATGTGTGTATAAGTGTGAGCGAGTGATCATAATTTATTTGCGTTAAAATTTTTATTCTGTATTTAAAGGAAATTTTGCACTTCGATAGGAATTATAATAGTATATGGAAAATTAAGTTAATTATCGAAATAAAAGTGAAGTATTCACGTGTGAATATGTATACATAATTTCGAAGATATATTTATTTATACATGAATAAGATAAAGTAATATAAGTAGAAATTTGAAATACCAAATTTGTGTAACTGTATTAAGTGGAATACGCGAGCCATTGTTTTACTGTTCCGTTGTTGGCAATTTGTTGTGTATTGGTTGACTCGTAATACGGCCTTAAACTGTAAATTAAAATTGTATTGATAAAAATCTTGAAATAAATAGAGAGAAATTAAAATCAAAATAACTGTAGACAGACAACAATTTTGATGGATCTTATTGCGCACGAGGACAGTTACGTAACTTTAATAATCTGTGACTGTTTGAAAACACTGTCATACTTTATTATATTTCACATGTTAACGTAATTTACATAAATAATATATAGTACTTTCACTGGTGTACAAATTACAATGTGCTTGGTATAGCTAGGAACTCGGATGCAATGCAAATCGTTACAATCAGTTGCGCTGATAAGATTATTCTAGTTTTGATTAACGAAGAGCACAGAATACTTCAACTATAGTTAATTGTTTCTTTATAACGGTGACCAGATATCGGCTACGCGTATTTATCGATTACTTAGCCGGGTGAATGAAAACTTAGTAAGCGTATTTGCATCGCGATGCAATTACTTTGTATCACAATTACTCGTCGCGATAAGGATTTTGATAAGTTAACGGTTACCTGAAAGATTTTTAAATTTAAACGTCTCGGTTAAATAATTTGATGCTATCGGGCAAAAATAAAAATCAGAAAAAACGCCGAGTCTGCTTCCGCGATAGTTCATTAAGCGTAAACGAGATTAAAATTTACCTCTGCGTTGCTTCAACAACCATCGATTCCTTTTCACGTTTACTCACACTGTATCACACAGTCTCTGCGCACTTGTAATCTTCACTGGCAAAGAAACTAACAACTTAATTTACGATCGCCAGTTGGAATGTATTAAGATAAAGGGCGGCATACTCTTGAGCATTATCGTCACTTCGAAATATTATAAATGCATTTACGCGCGATATTAAAATATTTACTAGAATTCCTTGACTTCCTGACACGGGTCACCGTGTCGAAAATCGCGGAAGTATATTTTCTTTCGAACGTTCAGCCCGTAAGATCTGTCGTTGCTCGCCTCGCGTATCAATAGTCCGTCTTTGAAATAACACGGATGGTATCGATCGTATCCGAATTCGTCCTTTTTAATCGCTGTCAGAGGGACAATCACTTCCCTGGATCCTGTCGATGTTCTTCTGCGCGTCGCCGTTGCTCGAATGGGGTACCTTGCTGTAACTGTACACCACCGAGTTCCTATTACGCGACAACCAATTGACAGCCATATAAATCGCGGCCACCATGAGCACGGCGAGATTGATAGAGAACAGAATCGACATCCTGTAGAACCAGATGGTCGACTGCATCGTCCACGAGAATTCCTTCAGGATGCACTGGGAGTCGTTGAAACTCGAAAACTCGGAATCTTCGTGGCAAGTGACACACTCGGCGTCTGAAGGTCCCGAACAAGTTAGACAGGAGTAGTGACAAGGGGCACAGACCGCCTTTGTCTCGTCGGATACGCCATAAGTCGTCGTCGGACACTCGTACACGCAAAGGCCATTGTAGCGGTACCAGTTCGGCTTACACTCTGAAAAATTACATACATTTTTGATGCTCCACGTTCGTTCTTTTCCGATTGTATTTGAGACGTATTGTGGTGTGTCTGTTGGTTTGTATACTGTTGTGCGAGTTTCGAGTAGCTCCCGATGGTTTACGGACGACGCTCATGGATCTATTCGTCGCGATACGTTTTGTTATAAATTTAAGATTCAGGTCGCGAACTTCACTTCGGCCATTTCACGTTGGCGTCTTCGAGGAATTTGGAAAAATTATATCCATACGCGTTTCATGTAACAAATATTATACAGGATGTGCCATTTTAGACATTTCGTTATGGCGTTAAATGAAAATGTTTTGGAGGAAGACAGTGTGTGACAGATGCCCCCTTTCGATGAGCGGTAAATACAAAGAAAATTACGTTTACTAGTTAAATATCTCTTGTAAAATATGTGTTATCATTTATAACTTTAAATTAAATAATATTATGCTATGATTCATATCCTTAAAGAACATAAAGGCAAAATTCATTTTTGCTTGTATTTCATCGTTCTAAATTTTTCTTCTCGGTATTCGTCAATCATACAATTTTTCAAAGGAGTTAGAAAATCACGAATTTTTCGAAACTCGAAAATGGAACGCCCATGTATAATTCAGTTTCAATTTTAATCTTTTTAAATTGTCGTAACTAGTTGTTCTTTAAAAAATTAGATGGCAAAATCTTCTATAAATAATTCACAATTGTACATTTTCTGATCGGTATAGATAGTTTTCAGATCACCTAGCTGTACTATAATTTAAATATTCAAGTAATATGAAGGTTGAATCGAAGTTTGGAACACTTCTCAGGTATAATATGTGTTTCGAAACATCTCGACGAAGTTAACGCAGGGAATATTGTTCAATATACGTTCAACTCGGGGCCTCCAAGTATCCTAAATTGCTGTTGCAATTAATAACCACCGGACGCAGAAGCATGTAATTATTTGTAACACAGTTATCAAAATATTACTCGAACAATGAGTATCGAATACGAATAGAGCATTTCGTAGCAAATGGAATCCGTGGGTGAATATATTTGTGTTCGTTATATCGTGTCGCTTTGTGTTCGTATAAAAACAATAAAGACATTATGCTTAAAATGTAGATTAGGCAAAAATAGACATGTTTTTCTAACTAAACGTACATGTTGCTTATGACTACATACATATACATATACGATAAACGATGGTCTTTACACTAACGATAAATAAATATATTTTGTACGTGAGTTAGGCCTCGGTGAATTGATAATTAACAAGTCTTAGTTATTCAATTTGCGAATTATTCAGTCGATATTTCAAGAACTATCCCATTTTATTCACCCAGCCCTAATGTAAATGGATTTCGATTTTGATTAAACTTATAATTTAGCGTTATTTGTCTAAACAATTAAGCGAGACAGATCCAACTATAAAGTAACAACCTTACCAGCCATTATATCTAACAACTATTACATAATATGCACATTTACTCTGAATGTTGAAGTATATGTATGCAATGAAGTTTTTTTCAGAATTGAATGAACATTGAATACCTAGATACACATACGATGTATTGATTAATTTAAAATTTAACTCGAGAGCATGCTTCTTTAAGTTCGTCCTTAAAAAAAGACGTTTATATATTCATTCATAGCGTACAATATACTTCAAATTTGTACGTGGATATATTTTTAAAAATATGAGAATTTATATCTTTAAAAATATACATTTTTAATGTCATGTGTCGATCGACATTGAGTACGACTTAGTATAAGCAGTCAATTTGATTAATTGACAAAGCCAACAAGCACAAAGGCGCAAATAAAGGAGCAGTATAGTAACCGTTCCCCAATTGCTAAAGAAAACAACTGTATAAAATATTTCTAAGAATAATCATTGCAAGCACTGACAAGTAAGAGCGAACAATAAAAAAGCAAAATCGCCAATTATGAAAACAAAGGACAGAAATCTTTCCAGCAGACAAGAACAAATTCGATAGATCGAAGTAAGTTGAACCCAGGCAGATATTAAGTATATGAGAATCAAATAAATAGTGCATTCGTGTGCTCAGAAATTATATTAAATATGAAACACTCGTTTATAAACGTAGTAATATATATTATAATTCTCAATTGTAAAATCAATAACTCTTATCATCTATGTTTTATTACGAGAAAACAAACTTATTAATCATTATATTATAGATAATATCCATGCAATATTTTCCAGAAGTCTCTTCAGATACACGGTCCTTAGAAATTCACTTACGCACGATTATTTATTTAATAATTGGTTATTGGTTCGCGAATAATTTATTCATATCGCCTACGATTCAACATCCTCGATTCGAAGCAGCATTTAGCAAGAGGATACAAATAGGAACATTATAGACTGATAGAGAAGTAAGACTCACCGTGCTGGTGAAGCGATCAGGGATAGGTCATTTTTATTGGTTGTACGTGTGTGGTTGTGGATGTGGATGTGGTTGGTGATGGTGGTTGGTGGTAGTTGACTGGTCTGAGAAAATCCGCACCGCAACTCGCCCACGGAGAGCCCCAAGTACCTAAATACGTTTTCAGAACCTGCTATGGAGTAGAGGGATAAAGCGACACGTGACACTTCAGGTGCAGCGAGTAATCTTTTTTTTTTGTTCAACCCTGCACAATGAGAATTTGATATTGAGCCTCTGGATAAACGATACGATGATTTTTTTTGTCACGCGTCAAGACTTGTCAGGCATTTTCTAAGGGATGAAATTCAATTTGCCGCGTGGAAATTGCTGCGAAGTGTTCGCAAAATCTTTCTGAAAGCTACAGGTGACTATGATCTTTCTCATCGGTGGATACTTCGTGGAAATTGTTCTCGTTTCGCCGTGAGAATTGTCGATATTATTAAACTATTTTATTCGCTCGGAATAAAGTTTATCGGGTGAAAGGAACCGTGTAAAATCTGTTAAGAATTAGTATCAATTTTTAAATAACTTTGTTTGGCTCTGGCACGTATTGAAGACAATGAGAATCATTTGGTGCGATGTCAAAGTTGTTTGTCGATAAAGAGATTTATTAATCTGTGTACGTTTTATAAACTAAATTTAAAAAACATAGAATATTCGAGAAATTGTGCTCAACCGAGGAAAATGGGGTAATAAACTTGTAAAATCCAAAACTGAAGCCATAAGAGTACACAAGAAAGAGAAATAAATTGTAGCGATTGAAACATTCGTGGAGAAATAATAAAAGATTTGAAACAATATATCGATACAATTTTTCTGAATGGTTTTGAACAAAATAAATATGTACCAAAATAGGAATTTACATTGACACGTTGACAAGCCGGATTTCAAAATCTACGGATGTGTTCGATATTAATTTAAATTACAGTTTACAAAAATAGAAATATTCAATTCTATAGTGTAATATTATTCTACAGAATTGATATTCGTTATTACTCTAATATTATTTGATTAATTGTCTACGATTTGGTTATTAAGAGAACTATAACAGAAGATTAAGGCAGGGCTAGATTGCAAGCAACTGCACACCATAAAATTATCATTTTTTTAGTATCGGTTACTTACAAGTTCATTTAAACAATATTACTTTTATGTGCAAGTAGCGTAAAAGTGCTATGACAGAACGAAACTACACACTCCTGTTATTCGTAATAAAAGAGTAGGAATACATAGAGTTATACACAAACATACTTTTGTATTCATATTGCATACACATATACAGGGTGTTCGGCCATCCATGGGGGAAATTTTAATAGTAGATTCTAGAGGCCAAAATAAGACGAAAGTCAAGAATAATAATTTGTCGATTGAGGCTTCGTTAAAAAGTTATAGAAACATTTCCGGCCACACAGTATATTTTTGGTAAAGAATTTTTTTTCTCGAAAGTACGTAGGATTTCGGGGGTATACGTATTCACCAAAAATGATTGTAATTGACCCCTGCAACTGAAAATAATTTTTTTAGGTCGATTTGAACAAATTTTTTTTCGCCGAAAAATTTCAGGGAAACGTGTCAATGTATGGTCAGCCATGATATTTTCGGTAATGAATTTTTTTCTCGAAACTGCGTAGGATTTCGGGGGTATGTGTATTCACCAAAAGTGATTGTAATTAGCCTCTGCGACTGAAAATAATTTTTTTAGAACGATTTGAAATTTTTTAATTTAATTCTTTAACAACTTTTTAACGAAGCGTCAATCAACAAATTGATATTCTTCATTTTTATCTTATTTTTGCCTCTAGAATCTCCCATCAAAATTTTTTCCAGGTATGGCCGAACGCCCTGTATATCCGATTTTGTAGCACTGCTAAGACGACGCCCACGCGACGTCTACGAGTACAGTTTAACAATTCAAACTACATGCAAGATCGTGCAAGTTTACATATTTCGGTAATTTCCAGCGAAAGATTTCTCGAGAGATTAAAAAGAGATTCGTAAGAAGCAAATCCATCGGCGAATGAATATTCTAGATACGGTGCAGTATTTTAAAACGTCTACGAAGCCACGAAATTTCTAACAAAGTCTTTCACCGAATCGTCGTACGGGCGAGAGTTTAAAAATTAATAAATCTCGCCAGGCGCGTGTACGATTCCGTAAATCAGAGCTATTAGATAATATTGCTTAACTACGCAGACTATTAGGTATTTTCATTATTCAAATACAGGTATTATAGAGTCCTTCTCAGAGTTCACGTGGAAGTTCACTGAATTATGCATGAAGTGCAAGCAGAAAACTTTCTGTATACACAAAAGTTAAATTAAAATCTATTCCTATGTTAACTTTTAACAGTGCACTCTCTCGCGGATCGTCTTCCATCTCCCGACGCTCCTATTCAAATTTCTCCGAATCCCCTCATTAACATTTATTTTTCAATCAGATTTTTTACGAGCGCGCGTCTCAATTTACTCCCGACGGGGCGATTAAAGAAAATTCTGTACCTTTGGACAATGCATTCATGAATAATTCATGGAGGGTTATAAAGCGACCGGTCCCATT